TGCACAATTCTCTTTACACACTGCAGGTGTGGATCTTAGCCCATGAAACTGCACTTACCTAGTAGTTCTGGACATGGTGTCTTCTTGATCTGTGTTAAATCCTGTCCATTTTGCCCTGCAGAGTAATTTTTCCAGTGAAAATGGCATATCTTCCAGATACACATTCCTGAGAGCAGAATTAATCCTCTTGAATTTAAGCTGCTGCCTTCCTGGGTTTCTTTATTGTCAGCTAAATGTGGGGCTGTTAACCTGTGGTAAGAAAGATGACCAGAAAGCAGAGAATCCAGGCTTGTGGGTTAATGCAATTTGTCAGTCCATGATATGTACAAACACGTGATTTCTGCACAAATTTAAGATAGACCAGTGGGATATAAGCTGCATGCAGCCACTAGACAATATGTATTTTATACAGTGCACCAGAGAAAGCTAAAGAATAAATTGCTCTGATGTGCAACATCAGCAAAGACCTGAAGCTGCAAGTAATATCATAACGAAAGCCAAGCCTGGTGGGGACCACTGGAGAGAAGGCGGGAAGAGGAGGAAGGGAATGAGACAAAGGGAATGGAAATTAGATCCCTTGTCAGTAAACTGCATTTTAACTGGAAGGCGTTGTGTTTACAAAAAACCTCAAGGGATGTGTAGGTGACTGTATGAGAAAAGAAGCTGTGCTGAAACATTGCAATTACCGCAGAATTGGACAAGGCTTGCTTTTCTCTTATGTTTCTAGCTGAAACTGAGCACAACAACAGGAAACCTGCACCAGTAAAGGGGGAAAGGAGAGAGGAATGTAAATTGGAGAGATGTACAGAGGTGGATCACGCCTGAAATGAAGCTCTCTGTAGAGCTATCAGGGCAAGGGGTGGGGGAGTGGGAGGCATGATGAGAGGGAAGGAGCTGTTGTTTAGTGAGCTTGAATGAATGTCAGAAATACAAACACACATTTTTGAAGTGTAAATCATGAGCTGGTCTCACAAAGACATATGTTTGCTGACAAGGCTTGTGACCACAAATGCAATATTGTCCTTTCCAAAGGCAGGAAAAGAGAGACAAAGAAAGCGTGATGTCAAGGACTAGGCTGGGGTTATTTTTCCACCAATAATACTGCTGACAGGTCAAGATGAGATGTTCACAGCACCAGGGCTGGATGCTAACCTGCTGTTCCGGGCACTGTCTGCAGGAGAAGAAAGAGAAGAAGCAGACCCTCCGTTGGTATTTGTAACTGAGGTATGAAGAGGTATCCAGCAACCTGGGCCCACATAACGATTATAGTGCAGAAACTGAAAAGCCTGGCAAAGTACAATCCACCTGATCCATTAGAAGAAACAAGGAAGCCCAAATAACTTTCCTTATGTTATAAATGTGCCTTTGCACTTGGGTAAATTTGTCCTAAAAAAAGAAACAAAACACCAAAACCAGAAGAAACAGAGAGAAGCAGATGGCACTCTGAATTTCATATGGACCCAAGCAGCTGCTTGGAAGAACAGAACTATACGAGTAAAAGTTCTACTTTCAGGAGCGAACGTGCCACGGTACAGAGGAGCACTGGAAGACAGTGCTTAAGATCTGTATCACTGATATAGCAGTCAAAAAGGTACATGCTAGCTGTTTTAGGTAGGTGCAAAGCACAAAGTAGATTTGTTCCCATAACAAAACCCAAAAGTAATACAGTAGGAGTAGGAGAATAAAGGAGTGGGAGAATAATTAAAAAAAGAAAAAGAATAAAAATATAATCCCCATTTAGGTCAAGCAATGGGGCTCGATGTAAGTCTACAAAAAACATTAAAAGCTCTCAGCAACCTGAAATATGAGTGTGTTTTAAGTGTGCCACTCCTGAAGCAGGGCATTCTGGTAGGAGAATTTTCTCAACCCCTGAAGGCAGAGTAGACAATTGAGCATGACAGTGATTTCAGACTTCTATCAAAATAGAAATGTGGTAGTTCTGTAAGGTCTGCAGCCAAGCAGAGCCTGCAAAGTATGGGCAGCATGAGTCTAGCCATATATAGTACACATGGGTGCATCTGTATTAGCTGTCCAGGTCTCTGGATATGGCTCTGATATAATTTATGACACTATAACTGTGTTTCCCTGGTGATTTGTAATCAGCGCTGGCCTGGGTCTTGAAGGACCTGGGAGAGAAATTCTCTGCCTGACATGCATGTTTTGTTTCCCTACAACAGCACCCCAATTAACCTCTGAGTCACAGTGCAATTTCTTTATTTACCCAGACTATTAACATGTATTTTGGTGAACCCTGAGTGTTCTGCATGGTATGAGGCTGCTTAACATGGACATGGGATCACATCTGTGCTGTCACCCAAAGTTTCCTCTTTATGAGGGTAAAGAGTGCTGTCTCCCCTGCTCCTCAGTCCCCTGTGGGATTGCTGTAAGGATGGGTTTGCCAATGAATATAAAAAGCTGAGGTTTTTACATGCATAAAAGGTTAAGTGGAAACGTTTGTCCTTTAGTCTCTTGGCTGCAGCTACTTTTTCCATGCCCCAACTGTCTCTGTGCCATTGGCATAAAAAGCAGCTTCAGAAATGGAGAAGTGAGTGTCTCCTGCAGGGCTGTGGAAGAAAAGAGAAGACTTTTCAATGGTCGTAGAAGTAGGGTTACGGCAACCCCAAGCACTTTTGATAACCTTTATGGTAAATGGCTTTTAAAATTTGCGCCCATTGCACAGTGCCCTTGTGTTGCCAGGTCTGCTCTGGGTACTGGTTTCCTTTTGCTGCACATCTCCTGCTGCTCCAGGCAGGATGGGCAGGTAACCCCTCTGTAGGCATTTTGGCTAGGATGCCTACGAGTTTTGTAGGAATCACACTTTCCCTCTTCAGCTTGCACTCATGGCACTTGTGGCTTAGTCTTGGCAGCTCAGATTGGATAAAACAGAAGCCCGAAAGGATCAGACTGTAGTGTCTCTGCCACCAGCAGTGAGCAGTCAGTGTGGGCTGCGTAGGGAACCAGACTGTTGCTTCCCTGGAGGAGTCTCCTGAGATAACTATAATCACAAGTGACTGTAGTGTCAGCTGTCTGCTCACAGAAGGCCATGATGAATGTCCACCTAGACTAGAAGCAGCTAGGAGTCACCAAGCTAGGGCCAGCTGGGAGCAGACCCCAAGAAGGTGTGAGCTGGGGCTTGGGACAGCATGGATGTGCTCTGCACTGAACCTGCCTGCCTTCCCTTCCACCTTCCGGGTGTCACTCCTGCAGCCTAGTAGGATGACTAATGCATTCTGATTGGGAATTCTGCTATGGAGGAACTCTCAAGAATCTGGAGGAGCAGCATTAAATGGTTGTGTGAGAAAATAAAATTCCATTTACTCGTTTATGAAGTCCATACTAGACTCTGGTGTCTGTTTGCAGCTGCCATGATTATGATCATGGCTGTGAATAGGGACATGACTTTAGGAATTAGGGTGAATCTGTGCAGGATATGTAGGACAAGGGCATCAGCCACAGAGGGCAAAAATTAGAAAGGTCTAGCACCACCACTCTGTGCTCACTGCTGGCCCAGAGCAGCAGCTTGTGTGAAAGCCAGGGCTATCTATCCAACTGCTGAGGTGAGCAGCTCAAGAGAGGATGCCTTGAACACCGGAGCGGGGGAGATCAGCGTCCAGGAGCCTCAACTCAGAGCGGCGAGAGCAGAGCCACCGAGGGAGCCTCAAGTCCTCGACAGGACCTGCCCAGGAGCCGGCAGTTCAGCTGACGCGAGCAGGGACTCACAGGGGGCGGAGCCAGGAGGAGCTGCGCTAGCCCTGATTGGTTAAAAACCTGCCCCAGGGAGCGCGGGGAGGCAGTTCGAGCGGGATGGTGAGCACTCGCCGCATGACCAGGGCTCGGTCTGGGAGCTCTGCTCTGGGGGGCCTGGCAGTGGCCACCGTAGGCACCCAGACAGAGCCGATGAGAGGGGAGGCTGCAGTGCTGACTTCAGAGTTGTGGTCAATGGCTCAATGTCCAGCTGGAGACCAGTTACGAGTGGTGTCCCTCAGGGATCGGTGTTGGGACCGGTCTTGTTTAACATCTTTGTCACTGACATGGACAGTGAGATGGAGTGCACCTTCAGCAAGTTTGCCAATGACACCACGCTGTGTGGTTCGGTTGATATGCTGGAGGGAAGGAATGCCATCCAGAGGGACCTTGACACACTTGTGAGGTGAGCTGATGGCAACCTCATGAAGTTTAACCATGACAAGTGCAAGGTCCTTCACCTGGGTCGGAGCAATCCCAGGCACAGCTACAGGTTGGGCAGAGAAGAGATTCAGAGCAGCCCTGAGGAGAAGGACTTGGGGGTGCTGGTTGATGAGAAAATGAACATGAGCCAGGTTCAGTGTGCGCTTGCAGCCCAGAAAGCCAACCGTATCCTGGGCTGCATCAAAAGGAGTGTGACCAGCAGGTTGAAGGAGGTGATCCTGCCCCTTTATCCTGCTCTCGTGAGACCTCACTTGGACTATTGTGTGCAGTTCTGGCGTCCTGAACATAAAAAGGACATGGAACTGTTGGAACAAGTCCAGAGGAGGGCCTCGAGGATGATCAGGGGACTGGAGCACCTCCTGTATGAAGATCGGCTGAGAAAGTTGGGGCTGTTCAGCCTGGAGAAGAGAAGGCTGTGTGGAGACCTCATAGCAGCCTTCCAGTATCTGAAGGGTCATATAGGGATGCTGGGGATGGACTCTTCATTAGGGACTGTAGGGACAGGACAAGAGGTAATGGGTTAAAACTTAAACAGGGGAAGTTTAGACTGGATATAAGGAGGAAATTCTTTCCTGTTAGGGTGGTGAGGCACTGGAACAGGTTGCCCAAGGAGGTTGTGAATGCTCCATCCCTGGCAGTGTTCAAGGCCAGGTTGGATGAGGCCTTGGGTAATATGGTTTAGAGTGAGGTGTCCCTGCCCATGGCAGGGGGTTTGGAACTTGGTGATCTTAAGGTCCTTTCCAACCCTAACCATTCTATGATTCTATGATTCTATGATCTAGCATTCACTCACCATCTCCTTCGCTTTGCAGGACGTTAAGGATGACAAGGAAGATCTTCACCAACACCAGGGAGCGATGGAGGCAGCAAAATGTCAACAGCGCCTTTGCCAGGCTGAGGAAGCTCATTCCCACCCACCCACCAGACAAAAAACTGAGCAAGAATGAGACACTCCGGTTAGCGATGAGATACATCAACTTCCTTGTCAAAGTTCTGGGAGAGCCAGGCGTGCAGCAGACAGCAGTGGCAGCACGGGGCAGCATCCTGGGCTTCTTCCAGCAAGCTCCACGCTTGCAAAATATGGAGGAGCTGACACTGATCGAAAACTGTGTCTCTTCTCCTGCCATGAGCAGCAATATTGTAGGGTGCTGGTCAGAGACATCATCTCCCTAGGAGACAATGAGATGTGCAGTCTTTGTGTTAGTCTGATAGTCCCCCTCTTTTTGCAGAATCTGTGGGTTGCTCTTCTATGGATTGTGATTATTTATTTATATTTATTACTGGTTTATTTGGTATACATTTTTATTTAATAGGAAAGGAAATCCTTTGTCAGCCAACAACCTGTAAGACCAGACAGAACTTGCAGCCCCTCTCAACTTGGAAGGACTCACTGCTGTCAGAGCAGAGACCAAGAGAGAAAGGCCTTGTGCCTTGATCAAAGCCATAAATCAGACCATAGAAATTCATCCAGTGTTTCCAGGAGGGAAAGAGATGATTCTATTCTGCCATGCTATTTCAAGAAAGCACTAATAAGCTCAAGAATTACAACTGCATTGCACAATATGTCCAGCAGAGACACAGGCTTAGGTAGTGAAAAATTTTGAGAGGTGCGATACTTGCCGCAGTCCTCCTCCAGTGATTCCAGGGGATAATTGCACTCACTCTTGAGTCGGTGAATCTTACTTCCAGCTTGAGTCTTCCTTTTTTAATAGAAGTCCTAGCCCTTGAACCTGGCTACATCTTTCTCCATCAGACTGGAATGATCCCTAGTGCCAGAGCAACATGCTATTAAATTAAATTAAAAGCAGAATTAAAAGCAAAAATGAATTTTCTTTTTTAAATAAAAGACAACATAGTAATAGATGAGTTTCAGTGGGCTCAACAGGCAGAGTAAACCTCCTCCGTATCAGTGACAGCGTGCATTTGAAGGAAGCTGATCAGCTACACTCCAGCTGCCTTAAAAGCCCATCAAACAGTTTGATGGCTAAATGTCTTTGTTCTTCAAAAGCTGTAGCAATGGGGGAGATCCTGCTCTGGGAGGGAGGTCGCAGGAGAAAGGCCTCAATGATGCACCTCGAAAACCTTCATGGGAAAGCCAGTGAGCAGTGTCCCTTCCTGTGACACGGTGCAGAAGCAGCAGGAGCATGTCTGGGCCTCTCAGAAGGTGCTGGGAATGCACCACTGGTGCACTGCGGTTGCCATTTGGCACAAGGCTGTGTGTCATGGGTCTTGGGCATCGAGTTCCTGAACCACTGCTTTTGCTGCTGTGAGAGGCAGAACCAAACTGCACGTATCCTTGCTGTCATCTGTAATACCCCTGGTGCTATGATGCTGGGCTGCATGAGGTTGGTTTGATGTCTGCCCTAGGTGGGGTACCAAGACCATGGACAAGACTAGGGGCATGCTGCCCACATACTCACCTGACTGCCTTTAAACTGCCTGCTTTCACCTGCTGTAGTTAAGGTTCCTCCATCTGAGCACTATGACAACTGGGCTGGTGTAGCAAGGACAAAGAAATTGGTGTAAGGGTCTTCCATTTGATTCAGTTGGTCAGTCCTCTGTAGGGAACAACAACCACCATGCTGTAGGTTTTTAGATGATAAGTAGGATTAAAAGGGGTTTTGTGAAGGTTACTATTGCGGGTTGTTGCCCACATACCAATTTAATTTCTTGATTGAATTATAACCTGTGCCAGCAAAGGCCTTGACTGCTCAATCAAGTTATAAAGCTTCCCAGAGCAACAGAAAAATGACACCAGGTTTAAGCAGAACTGCTTCCTGCTCAGATCCTTCTCCCACTCACACAGGTCCTTTTGATTTCCATGTGGACCAACATACCTGTCAATGTTAGAAAAGACAACTATTCACCACTGGTGAAGAAATGGAGTTCACATGTGCCTTGGCATGCTCCTGCACTGTTTCTGTTTATTCATGAGACAATGAGCTGCCTTCAGGAAGCAGAGACAGGGTTTATGCATGTGACATGTACAGCCCTTCTGCATGAGGGGATTTGGCACCCAAAGCTGAGCTGCCTTTTAAAGCACCACCACCATTAGGTGCACCAAAGAAGCCAGGACTGACTTCTGCTAGGTGTGTATTGGACTGTCCTGTGCACTGGCAAAGACTGAGGTCTGTCAGGAGCACAGCTCATCCCATCCAGGTCTGGTGCTGTAAGATACAGGCATGCCAGTGGACTGATTCTGACCAAAGAAAAGAAAAAAAGACTGAAAGGGTTCATAGTGATTTCATTTTGTTTCTGAATGCTGCTCATCTTGAGTTTGCTTATCCCTGCTTTTGTGAGCTATCAGGGCTGGGGACTGCCCTGGAGAGCAGCTGAGTGAAAACACACTAAAGAGTCTTTTGCACAGATTGTCAAATCAGTACTGCTTTCTCTCCACCTCTGCTCACTTTAATGTTGATGAATGGAGTCTGCACAGCTCCTTAAAGGTAATGAGCCAAGTCCTCCTCCTATCTTTCTGTTGACTTGCTGCATGTTACAGCAGGATAAATTAGTTCAAGTAAATCAGAGCACTTATTGGTGTGGTGTGGTGCTGTTTGGTCTATCAGTTACTTGCTATCTTAGGAAATACAGGTCACCAAGGCAAGCTAAAACATCTTGTGAGCAGAGTTATTGTCCAGGAAAGGGGAAAGAACACCTGGGAATTTTGTAATGTTATATGCTTGTTATATTTTCTATCCAAAAAAGCTTTCCTTCTTATTATTGCTATTGTTCATACCAGCGCTTTCTTTGTTCTTTCAGTTTAGGAGTTCTCTACTTTCATGTCCAGCATGTATTTCACTAGATCTACCAAAGACTTTTTTTTTTTTGGTCAAGTTCCTTATTCATATTTCGTGGATTTTGTGGATTTCTTACAACTGTGTAACTGATCATATTTTGTGTTATATGTTGTTATTTAACATTTAATATATTATTCCAAATAAATTATTTAAGCAACTGATACTTGTCTTTTTAAACCTCTCTAAAATTTGATTTTATGTTTGCATACCACTTGGTAAAGGATACCAAAAACATTACAGTGTAATTTCCAGTAGAGGATCATTCTACTGTCCAGTAGTCTTAATGTTAGAAGCAGTATTATCAGATGATGAAGAATAACGGGAATTCTTTGTTTACTACTATTTCTTAAACTTTTTAGTTATATTGTATTTTAATCTACAGTCTTAGGAGATTTTGACCAGCTATTGAAAAAGACAGATAAATACAATTTCATTGTGCAATACTGTTGGGTTTGTCTTTCAAATATTCACCATTCAAAAGATTTAAACCAACTCCATTTTAAAAAGCAGAAGTAACCCTGAAAATTTAATTTGGGCTCTGATCTGAGCCTGTCATTGTCTGAAGATGTTCAGATAGGCACAAAACCTACAGATTCAGACTGGAGTGCAGGTTCAGATACAAAAACTTGTCCAAAGTTGAGGGGAGTTCAGGACGTAAAGCTGCATTTTCTGGCTAACATCTGATGGGAAAAACCTAATCCCCAATTGAATACGAGGCTGGGAGACGAAGCACTAGGATAACAGATGCAAAAGTTGTGAGGAAAAGATGGGATAATCTCTGGGACACAGGGCCAATTTCAGTTTCATGCTTAATTGGTTGTCTCATAGCCCTGACTGCTCTATGAGACACCAAGAGAGGGATATCTGAACAATATGTGCCTGAGAAAGGTATCATCTCAAGAGATTATATATAAATGTAATGGAATCAGATGTGAAGTTCAAAATATGTATTTATACTAAGTAAGATAATGCCAGCTTATAAAGGACCCTCTGCTTACAGCAGGCAATGCTGAATTAGTTTGTATGCTCAGGATTTTGTGTGAATGCCTCCTCTGGAAGTGGGCATGGTAGAGCCATGTTAACATGGTGTTGTGCTGTGAGATAATAGGGTCTGTGGCATGGAGATGTACCAAGTCATTTGGCTTAAAAAATACTAACAGGTATTGCAGCAGTGCCAAAATCTTAGTATAAATCACAAAAAATATCCATAGTCTTAAGGCCCCTACTGAGTAACTAATTGGAACTAGCAGTGTTAAATAGAGTTGTGTTGATAGCACTTTATCTCCTTTTTTTTTTTTTTTGGGATGATATGGATGTTAGTATCACAAGGAAGATGAACTAAGGTGGTATCTTCTAGAAGCATCTTTGGCATCTCCTGATGTGAAGTTAAAAGAGTCATGGCTCCCTCCAACCCATAGTGCTCCTAACCAGCACAGCGCATGTGAGGTATCTTTGTGATGCAGAAATCCAAGTGAGATACTCTGTTTACTTGGAATTTCCAACAGGATCAATAGAAGAATATACACCCACATTCCAGGTCAGATGAGGATTACGTTCATCAGAGACTGGGTGCTAGGAGTCAAGCACCACTCTTCAGCTATCGCAGCCTAACAAAACAGATCCCAGGAGATGTGCAATGTATACTGTCCTTAAAAGTAACCCATGCATCACCAGAAAAAAGCCTGCCGTGCAGACTGCTGTTCATCATGTCCTCTTTCTCAGTATCGTCTCCTTTGTGGTCACAGAGTGTAACTGAAGTTGGATATTTGTGTTGGGTAAGGAAAGAAATATGTTGCAGCTGTGTCTTGCAAGGGCACTGTAGCCTTGGGCATGAATCCTAGTGCTGGCCAGCTTGTGGTTAAAGGAAGGGCAGGTCTGCAATCAGGGTTTTGGCATGAGATTCAGTGGATTTTGATCTTGGCTGACCTGAACACACTGTGCCTAGCACTGGAACTTGCAGTGCCTTTCTTTTTTTGCATGGTGCCTTTCTTTTTTTCTGGAGTGTGGCTGAGGAAGGCTTTGTGGTAAGGCATGTACTCAGCAGCCTTGCCGCTTGTACTGAGTCTGAATCAGGGAGGAGGAGAATGCAAGGAGCATAGCAGAGGGTGACTCACAGGGTTCCTGAGCCAGCCAAATTAAATGGCAAAACAGAGTTGTTTTAGCACACTAAGACTCTGCGCAAGAAGTTTAAGCTGTGGGACTGTTGTGTTTCAGAGGCATACGATTCATGAACCATTTAGTAATTTATCTTCCAGTATCTAACTGGGTCCCACAAATTTTTTAGCTGCTAGTGAATGATATGCAGTGACCATGGCTAGAATGAGCAAGGCAGATCTGACTTTTGTTCTTTGAAGGCTGGGTGATGAAAGGAGTTGGAGAGAATGGGGGACTTAACTACTGACCTGTGGGGCAAGGGTCATCTGGGAGGCAGTCTTAAATCTGAAGGTCATCAACAAAGTGACAGAGTCTAAATCCATCACTTTTCAGGGGTATAACTCTATTTTTAATACAGCAGGTGCTGAGAGAATCAGAGGGGAGAAGGTGGGTGGAGGAATCAGCTCAAACAAGTATTTGGGTTACAGAGGTAGAGATTGCCCTGCGTCTGTTTAATCCATGTATCTGGATGAATATGTTCCTTATTGTTCTGTTCATAAGCCATGGGTAGCATTTTCATTGCACTCTGAGTTGGTCCAGCTCTCTCTAGAAGAAAAAGACTTAGTCTCATCCCATTGTATTCTCCCCCCAGCCCTTTCCCATGTGTGAAAACAAATGCACATCCCATCCCTCCATGGTTTGTTTCACTGCCATGGACTGCAAACCCAACAGTGCACAAATAAGGATCCTCAGATAAGCCTCTTTTGGGAACTTCTTCTGGAAAAGGGCTGCCCTCCTCCAAGGCACTGAAAGACAAAAAGAGAGGCAAAGAACAACCAACTTTTTCTGTGGCTACATATCCCCTGCTGAGCATCAATGCCATAAAACAGCACAAAAGTGGCTCAGGATGAAGGGCAAAAAGAAGTCAGGGAGACTCCTGTGGATCTCAGCATGGACTGCATTGGGCCTCACATAAAGTCTCCAACTTTTAAGCTGGCAAGTGATGCAAAGGGGTATTCACAAGCACAGGGCAGGAGAGATCTCCCATACACCCACTGTTCTGTCCTATTACACAAGGGGGGCACAGTGAATAACACTGAATATCTCAGACCTGGAGAAGATCCCTCACTTTCTTTGAAATTCCCTACTCTGCATCTTCAAAGACATTCTTTTTTAGGTAGCATAAAACCTTAATGGAAAGCTAAAGGATGAAGGTCCACAGTCAGCAAGTCTCATGGGGTGTGTTCCACTTCCAACTGTAGGTGTAGACAACGTTTAGCATTGATTTTCTCCTGGTGACTCTATTTGGCAAAACCTGGTAGACAGCAGTAGTCAGTCCTGGAGCTGAGAAAAGCTAAGAGCAGCCAATATTAAATCTCCCTTCAAATCACAGGAGAATTACTGTGCTCAGATATATAGACGTACAACCAACCAAAACATAACCTGTAGATTCCCCCAGCTCAAGACTATACAGCTTTAAAAAGCTTTATGCTTACTGGAAAGACCTGAAGACTCTCAAGAGGAAACTACAGTGCATAAAAGCACCTTGAGTGGAGGCTATTAGATATAGTTAACCGCAGAAGCTCAGGCCAACTGAATGTGACCTGAAGTGTTCTGCTGTCTGAAGGTTAAAAGGAGTTTCAGAAGGAAGTATCTAGCCCTGCTAAGAGGCTCTACAGTGATCTCTATCAGACTGAATGGCAAAAAGTCTGTTTCTAGTTGAGAGTTCCCAGCAGAGCGAGAGAGCCTGGCAGGTGGACTTGCCAAAAGCTCTTGGTGCTGGCATAGCCTGCTTGGGTGGGAAATGATCCCACCACTTGAAGAGGAACTGAAAATAACTCAGTGCTGAACGGATTGAGCTGCCCATTCTGGCTCTTCCTCCTGAACTATGCTGCAAGTGTTTTCCCTACATTTTCAGGCACAGAAGAGCAGACAGCTGCTGTCTGCTGAATATGCCCAGCCACTGTGTTTGGCACGGTCTCAAAGCTGACATTTCTGCATAGACATGTGGAATGAGAATGGGTATTCCCCAGATCTCGCATTTGGAAACGAGGGGAGAAATTCATGCCAGGTAACTTCAGCAGCATAATTTTACCTGTCAATTTTGAATTGAAGAGCTGACCAGTTTAGAAAACATATATATATATATATATATATACATACATATATGTCTGTCTGTCTATCTATCTAGCTATCTGTCCTACCCTTATCATAAATTTGTAGCCCCTGTTGAAGTTCAAATAAGGTCACATGCAAAGAGAAAACCACCAAGTTTGCCTTTAAAACTGAAATTATTTTTCTTTCTGACTAAGAAAGAATAAAAATGACAACAACGAAAACAAGACAAGTTGACAGTGAAAGTGGGAGAAAGCATGTAGGATGGCTCTTCCGTGTCTGACTAATGCCTGAATGGTCATTACTGTTGCTGTAGAGGGAGGAATTCTATATTACTTTTACATATATCATCTACAGAGCACCAATACCTTGTTTCTGTTATGTCTAACAAATAAGTCAAACTGTCAGATAGGTTATTCTGAAAGCCCTGATATACTGGCTCCTATTAATTTTGAACATTTCCAAAGACTAGAGGCTGCTGAACCAATACAGATAATCATGAATTGATCATATGTTTTTCATTATCTAAGCATGGTTTGTATTTTCCTTCATGATATAGTTGTAAATTAATTGCTTATTTATAGAGTTAAAGAAATGAAAAGACTGTTAAAATAATAGTAAAAGAAGTTTCTTTGCTTTTTATCACATCTTCATCAGTTAAGTACTTATAGCATTTCTCTGCCATGTGCAGTTAAGATAAATCACAAAGACAGTATTTCTTCTTGAAAACTGCCGGTTCAAGTTAGCCAGGGTCTTGTCATAAATACTGCCTCAAA